AAAAAAAAAAAAAAAAAAAAAAAAAAAAAAAAAAAAAAAAAAAAAAAAAAAAAAAAAAAAAAAAAAAAAAAAAAAAACTCAATCCATAACCCTAAACCCTAAACGGATCAGGAGGACACGTTAAATGTTGGATTGGGTTAGATTTTTTTTTTTGTGGTTGAATTGAATTTTTTGAAAATAAAAAATTTGAGCTAGTTTACGGGTTGATATTTTTTTTAGGTCGAACTTGAAAATAGGATTACAACCTTCCAAACTCAACCCTACTCAACTTTTAAGATGATAAGAAGATTAAGAATATTTGACATTTGTAATCGATGTTAATGATGCATTGACTTGTGAATGTTTAATATTTGAGTTTTATGATATTTTAGTTGTTAACGTAACATGTATCGTAGATAAGTAAATTCTTTTAAATTATTAAAAAAAAACAACCCGACAACTCAACCTAACCTAATCCATAAATAGAGAGTTGGGTTAGGTGGATTGTGATCGATTACTCGAGTCACCAACCTAACCAACTTGAAATTTCGATTTAGTATAAAAGATTTCTCCAACCTAACCCGTGTACAACCCTAGTTGGATTTTGTTCCTACTTCAGTCTAAAAGATTTCTATTCAGATTGTTTGCATGTTGAAAAACTCGTTATTAGAAGAATGAACAAATTGTAAATTTAGTGACGGACGGAGAAATTACTATAAGCTTTTTAATTTGTTACATAGTTATCTTATTCTGGAATCAATATGAATAATTTAGAGCTTTATTTTTAATGTACAGTTGACTTTATCAAATATTTTTTATAAAAAGAAAAATGTGTGAATTAATTATTTCAATTTATTTACTAAAAAAATTCTGTGTGAACGAATTTGGCATAAAATATTGGTGGGATTAGGAATGAAATCATGTTCAGCATAAAGCTGTAATGAATGATTAATAAATTTCTATCTGATATTCTTCTCTGCTGGAAGAGATTCTTTTCCTAAGTTTGAATTAGCTATGATTTTAGATATCTCGAGCCGATCTAATTGGTATACCTTCTCGAGTCATTAGTTCATCGTTAGCAGATATTGTCCTTTTTAGAGTTTTCCTTTCGAATTTTCCCTCAAGGTTTTTAAAACGCGTCTACTATAGAGAAGTTTCCACACCCTTGTAAAGAACATTATTGTTGGATGATGAAAGTTCCGGCTAATTTAGGGAATGATTATGAGTTTATAAACAAAGAATACTCTCTCCATTGGTATGAAGCCTTTTGGGGGAGCCCGAAGCAAAGCAATGAGAGCTTATGCTCAAAGTGGACAATATCATACCATTGTAGAAAGTCGTGTTCGTTTGACAAACGTTTCGTTCTCCTCCCTAACCTATGTGGTATTTCACAATCCACTCTCGTTCAGGGTCTAGCGTCTTTGCCGATACTCGTTCTACTCTCTAATCAATGTGGGATCTCACAGGTTCTCTCTCGTAACATAATACGAAGCTTCTGCTAAAACAATGATTAGCAAAGAGAGGAAGAAGAACAGCTAATATACATTGAAAGATTCCTAAGCTCTACCAAAAGAAACAGTCAATGATTAGAACAAAGCCTCTGAGAGACTAAGAAACAAAAGAGAGAAAAAGAAAGAGATAAATTAAAGCCTCTGGCTATCAAACCTCAAACCTCAAACCAGTCAGCTCCCATGGCTATTATCTCGAGAACTCGAAGAACAAACCTTGTAAGCAAGCTCGGGTTGGGGTAAGTCGTCTTCTCCTTACTTGAACGACCAACTTTTGGATCGTTTCAGTTCCCATGGAGGTAGGCAGCCTTTATAGTGAGAGTGTAGAAACAGTGAAGATATTGAAACTTCCTTCTGATTCATAGAGATTGAGGATAAGCAACCGAAACCGCTTCTTAGTCTTTTCTTTTCACCCTCAAATCCCGGGTCGTGTTGCACGGTTGTGGCCTTGAGAGCTTTCGGGAGTATGCAGTTGCATTTGGAACCTGCAAAGAGTGTTTCTGGTTTAGAATCACATAGGATCTAGCATGACATCGTAAGTATTCTGGACAAGGGAAACGACGAAGCACGTACCTAATCTCGCAAGCCGATTTATCCATTTCGGTATGCGTTTCCCAGTTAGCTTTCTGCATATATCCTCACAGAAATGGTTGCAATTCTTCACAATCAAGTGATACGAATCGCCATGATAGTTTGCAGCTTCACACTCCATAAAGTCTCTTACTTGGATTGGGTCCAAGCAGGTCGTACCGATATAAATCGACTTCCTAAACTTGAATCCAGGGCATGTCCGAGGTTCGACCTCAAAGATACCACTCGTAGGATAGTCGTGGGCTCCAAACGCATATTCAACCCCATAGACTGTTAACACAGATAATAACTTATGGCTACAACTTATATAACATAATCTTAAGAACATCTACAAGATCAACACAGATCCTTTGTCCAAAAAAGTGAGAACAAAATCATCGTTCACGATTTAGATATACGAACGAAAGAGAAGTAAACTAACCAACCTTCTATGCCAGAGTGAAAGATGCCGAGACCAGCCCAGTAGATGTAGCCATTTGCAGGTGTTAAGTCATACACGTTGAGATAGACCGGAGTTTCGCCCGGAGTACTGGCAGAGGTCTGAAGCAAGCACAAATTGTTGGCTGGTTTACCTCTAAAATGAAGAGACTTAAAGTAATGCCATCCATTCTCTGATCCTCCTTTCATGGTTGATAGTGAAACCACGAATCAATTGGTTCTTAGTCTCAGCCTGTAAATTCTGGAAACATAAGCACACACTTTACTTCATTAAGTTATAATATTGAGTTCATTTCTTTATCGAAGTATGAAATCATGACAGAAAGACACCACAGACAGCTACATAGTAGTATAACCCAATTCATACAACTCGTGACCGACGTTTTCGGTCTATCTCGGTGAGCCCCGAGGAGCCCTTTTCCTTCAAGTGAAAGCAAGTGCCACAAAGTAGAATTCTACTGTTCTTTCTTCTTCAATAATTAGTGTAAGATCACACATCAGTCGGGGAGGAGAGCGAAGCATTCTTTATAAGGGTGTGGAAACCTCTCCTAGTAGACGCGTTTTAAAAACCATGAGGGAAAGTCCAAAGAGGACAATATTTGCTAGCGGAAGGCTTGGGTCATTACAATTAGGCTATTGCATTCACTTTTTCTTGAGATCTAATGATGCCTCAAGCTTTCTATGATCTTTTGCCCATTCCATTGTCCTATACGCCCCGGTTGGAGAGGAGAACGAAGTATTCTTTATAAAGTATGGAAGCCTCTCCCTAGTAGAGGCGTTTTAAAACCTTGAGGAAAACTCGTTCTCCTTTATAAAGTATGGAAGCCTCTCCCTAGTAGAGGTGTTTTAAAACCTTGAGGAAAACCCTGAAAGGGAAAATCCAAAGAAGACAATATCTGCGAGAAGTGGACAGGGACCATTACAATTAAGCTATATCATTCACTTTTTCTTGAGATCTAATGATATCTCAAGCTCTCTACAATCCTATACGCCCCCGTCCTGTCAATTGGGTTATTCGAACTTCAATGTCGGGTCGACTATCTACCTAGGACATGACTAAGGTCTCTGTAGATCCAAGAAAACTAGAGGAAATCCAAGGAGTCCCCTCCAGTGGCAAATTCAGCTCCATCTTTCAACCCTTTTTGGATCTTTCAACACAAGATTCTTTGTATAGTTCCACAAGCAAAGCCAGACCATATAAATGAAAAGTAAAGGAAACATAAACATTCAAACTCAAATCCACTGCTAAAGAATCCTGAATGATTCATTACGAAATTCATCATAACTTCCACCTAATGATTCCAAATCCAACCAGATTATGTCAAGATCCAAGCTATGAACTCAAACTCTTGAGTGTACATTGTTCGAGGGCTCTAGAGAAGATGTCGAGCCTCGATTAAGGGGAGGCTGTTCAAAGGCTCCATAGACCTGAGGGAGACTCTATATTGTACTTCGATCGAGGGGAGAATTGTTGAGAGAGAGTCTTACCTTGGCTAACTTAAGGAATGATCATGGGTTTATAAGTAAGGAATACACCAAAGTGGATAATATCATACGATTGTAGAGATCCGTGATTCCTAACCGTGGAAGAACAACAAATTAGCAAAGAAATCAAGTGGTGGGTGCATTAGATTAGCTTCACATTTCAACAAAAAAACGAAAACAAGCAGAACCCAAGTGGAAAAACCACAACACACAAACTCCACAGAACAAAACCAGATCAGATTCAGAAGAAACCCAGAAATTCAGAAAAGTTAAGAGAAACCCTTTTGTCAAAAGCAAGAAACAATCAAAACCCATGAACAAACCTCTTCGTAGCCCCAAAAACAGCCATCAGAGAGTGAAAATGTAGAAACCAGAGAGCAGCAGAAGCATGGCAGCCATTTACAGAGGTCCCAAAGGGGGCGATGGAGCGTGTGGGCGACTGGAAATGCAGAGAACCAGAGTCCTTTTGACGAAGAGGGCAGTAAAGAAAGGGGAAAACGAGGGGAAATTTTGCAAAGGCAGATGGGGGTTGTTCAAAAATCGATGAAGCTCGTGGACAGCTTGTTGAATTTAATTAGAAGATTGAAGACGCGAATTCCTATTTTCATTGAGCTTTTCTTCCTTTTAGTATACCTCCCAGCTTGGTCCCTTTCTAGTACAGTTGCAGTCATTTTCACTCCCTTTTTTTAGATAAAATAAAATAAAATAATGATGAGTTTTAAAGGAATCTGATTCTGTATCTCCTGTGAATTTTTGTTTCCATCAAAATTTAGAATTTTGTTATTTATTTTTTTTAGTTATTATTATGAAAATATTTTATATTGCTATAATCTGTTAGGATTTTTATTTATTTATTTTTAGAATTTGATTGATAATATATTTTATTTTATTTTCGGAACTTTGTTAGCATTTTTCAGATAAATATTCACATCAATCTTATTTATAGGATTTAATTAGTAGTTTGTATCTTATTTAAACAAAATAATAACGAAGATTAGACTTTCAATCCCATTTATGCTTCTCATTTTTAACGAAAATATTTAAAGATTTGTTTTTAAATTAACGTTAATTTTGCTATGTTTTCTAATTAATAGACATAATATATAAATTTTTTTTTTTTATCAAAGTTTATAATTTGAAAATTTTAAATATATTTAGATTTTAAGTTAAACAATAAATTAAACTATAAATAACCATGTTTTTAAATCAATTAATAATAGTTTTTGTTCAACATAATAATTAATTTGGAATTACAACTAATTTTTTAGTCTATAAATATGTTATAAAACATGCTTTCAACAATTATTTAAACTAGAATTCAATTTCTAAATTGTCTATTAATTAGGTAATTCATAAGATTATTATTATTATTATTATATATATATATATTATCCACCAATTTCTAAGTTAAAATGGTTAAAGTTTCAAACTTTTTTTTGGGTAAAAATTATCGTGTCTTCTGAAAGTTACTTGAATTCTCCTCGACCCTACCACAATTTTGACAATGAATTTGACTTCTTTTCCACGTACATGTCAAAATTTGAGACAAAGAAAAATTCACTGACCTTTACATAGTAACAGTGAATTTGTTTGATGGGAGAAATCATGACGGGCAAAATAAGAATTACTTGTATATCTGTGTCATGTTTGTCACACAAGCTTCAATACTTTACGTTTGATCAAAGAATTGTGTGCGTAACGAGTTTAGGAAATAAGAACGAACTTACCCTTCGTTGGTTTAGAAAGATACTTATATAGGAAATAACCTCGAGTTTTTCTATTTTTCTCGAATTAGGTTAGTCGAGAACCAAACCAAACCACATAGAGACATCATGACCAAGGACTTGCAATACATATGCCCATTTAGGAGGTCGAGGCTAAGGAATTGATCATTAACCAGTTCCTCTCTTCTCTCCTTAGTTTCAGGGTTGGGTTGGGCTTTCTGTGTGTTTCTCGAGTGTATTCCAGGCATAATTCTTCCCGTAGTTATTATTCTTATATTTCAAGACCAAAATTATCCAATGACAACTAAAATATTGTTATCCATAATGACGGGTCTAACTATCCCCGCTCCCTCCATCATTCTCCGAGCCTTCCTCACCACGTTCGTGATGAGCCCCTAAAAAGACAGATTCTCGGACCTACGAATTAAATAGACATCTCTACATAAAACATGAGGAGAGTTAACAATTTTCTAAAATAGGGAGCTCGTTAGGTAAATTATTCACAAAAATACTCGAGCCAGAGCCTCGACTCTACGAGTTAAATGGACGTCGGGGGAGAGTTAAAGGATTTTCTAAAATAGAGGGGTGATTTGGCAAATTCTTCAAAGTATTGGGCGTTTTTGTGATTATACTTTGAATTGGGGCAATACTTCAAATACTCCCTTCTTCCGCAGACTATTCTTGTCTTCACAGAACGACTGCAGAAAAGATCTCTGATTCCTCTTCGGACTGTGCCACTTCCTAAAACCCTAGCGCAATGTCGAAATCCCTCGTCGTCTTGACGCTAATCTCTGTTCTTCCATTGCTTTGCTATGCCTTCTCCCCCGAGAATCCCACAGATCGCAAAGTCCTCGTCTTACTCGACGATTTTGCCATCAAATCTACCCATTCTTTGTTCTTCAAGTCCCTCCAGTCTCGTGGTTTCGACCTCGATTTCAAGCTCGCTGATGACCCCAAGATCTCCTTGCAGAGACATGGACGCTATTTCTATGATGCATTGATCTTGTTTGCACCAACAATTGACCGTAAGCCTTCGTTCATTTCCATCTCTGATGGTTTCGTGTTGGAATTCTTGTATTTTTACTTGGAAATTGGAGACAGTATCAATTAGGGTTTCAGTTGTTTGGAATTTATTAATTTTGAGGTTGTATCTTTTGACTTAGCCGGAATTATTCGTAATGAATTGCATAGATGGTGTGATTATTGTTTACGTTTTAATTTCTCGGGTTTTTGTAGGTTTTGGGGGATCCGTTGATCTTGCTGGTATTCTGGATTTTGTCGATTCGGGGCATGATCTTATTCTCGCTGCTGATTCTAATGCATCGGATTTGATCCGAGAAATTGCCACTGAATGTGGTGTTGATTTCGATGAGGTTGGTGGATATCTAGGATATATTACCTTTTTATCCATAGCAGTATGATATTTGTTCTTTATAGCGTAAGAAGATTCTATGGAACCTTTTTTAAAAAGTTATAATATTTATAATTTCCATGAGCAAATGGATTATGTTTTATTGTTCGTATCAAAACTCCGTTTCTTTTCTGTACACTTACATGAAAAGTACTATTTCAAAGGATTCAGCTGCTGTAGTCATTGACCACACCAGCTATGCAGTATCAGAGACAGAGGGAGATCACACATTGATTGCCAGTGACGATTTGATCAAGTCTGATGTAATTGTGGGAAGCAAGAAGATTGAGGCAAGTTAGATTCTTCAGTAATTTTAGAAAGATTATCATGTAGGAAGATAGTGGTTTTTCATCCTTTAGAATAAACTTTTCGTTGGGGTTTTATTAATTATCGAAATTTCTTCAAAGTTTTCCTTGGCTTGGAGAAAATAGTCATTGATAATTCACATAATTAGTGTCTTAATGTATGGCTGCTCATAATTTCTGAGAGTGTTGGCCATTCATCAGTGCATTTCTGTTTACTTTGGTCTTGATTTCTCCCATTTGGTACTAACTCTATTTTGTGTTTGTAACAGTCATTGATACTATAAGGTTTACTTCTAATACTATCTGAATGAATGTTCCACACAGGCTCCTGTTCTTTTCCAGGGGATTGGCCATACTTTAAATCCTGTTAATAACTTGGTAAGATACTTGGATAGTCCTTACTTTACAACTTCTTCATAGAATGTGGTTCTATTAATGCTTAATAACTCTGGATTGGCATGACCATTTTTATGTATTAACCTCTCTTCTTTTATTCTTCAGGTGCTAAAAGCTCTCTCAGCATCTCCCTCAGCATATTCTGCGAAGCAAAAGTCCAAGCTATTGAGCCCTCCACAACTAAAAGGATCTGCTATCTCTCTGGTTTCAGTCATACAGGTCTATTATTGATCAAGTTCCTGCTTTTCTTTCTATGCATCTCCTTTAATGGTTTTTTTCTATGTTGCTGGAGCATTTTGATAAACAAAAAGATGGAGTATTGAATAGGCACAATAATGTTTATTGTGTACGATAATGTTGCTGGAGCTTCCGAAAGGACTTCTTGACTTACATACTTGGGATTATTTCTTTAAACTGATGTTGTTCAAGTATGAAATTGAACTCTATTGGCTTTGTGTTCTAAGTTTTCCTCTGGTCTACTAAAGCTGTAAGGTCTCTCATTTTATCCATCTGGCAGGGAGCAACCTTTTAAATTTCTTAAGATGTACAACTACTGTATTGTTGCAATCTTTGGTTTTGTACATATGTTTTTGTCAATTAAAATGAGTATTTAGTGGATGTGTCTTCTAAAAATAAGGCCAACTAGATTTTAGAATGTTTATTTGCCTCTAGATGAAGAGTTTTTGTATTCTCCATTTCTTTGAGTGGGTGAATTCTTTTGGCTTTTGATTTGGGACAGTTTCTTACCAGCCATCCTTTGTACCTCTGTCTTTCATAGACCTACAATATAATTTTTCTTATCACCAATGAAAGAGGGAGAGAGAAAGAAAATCAACAGTTCTTTCCTTATCCTTAAAAAGAAAGAATTGACCGTTCTTTCTGTGTTACAGGCAAGAAACAATGCTCGGATTTTGATCTCTGGATCATTAAGTTTGTTTAGCAACCGGTAGGGAACACTTGTAGCTTAATTACCAGCAACTAACTTTATTCCTTCTTTATCTATCTCAGGATCTCTTAATAATACAGTTTTTCCTCTTGTTTATAGATTTTTCAAATCTGGGGTGCAGAAGGCTGGACATCCAACCAAGTAAGTGAAAATGCCTGAACTAGATTGTATTACTTGATAAAAACCTTCATAGTTGTGCAACCATCATATACATGTAAAATATTATCTAATGGACGGTGGAAAACAATTATGAAGCTGCATCAATTATTAATGAACATTGATGAGAATTTAGATCACGTAGCAATTATTGGTATCTAGTATGCTTATGAACTGTTGAAGATACTCGTTGAAGAGAGTATGTTGTGATACAGGTATGATAAGTCAGGCAACGAGCAGTTTTCAATTGAACTAAGCAAATGGGTTTTCCACGAGAGAGGTCATCTTAAGGTGAGGCAGTACTTTAACATTTTTGCATTTTCTACTGGGTATGAGTTTGTTATAGAATCAGATTGTAGATGCTAATTCTATCCTCTGCGCCACAAATCGACGCTTGTTTTTTTTAGGCTGTGAATGTTAGGCATCACAAAGTTGGGGAAACTGATGAACCAGCAATTTACAGGATTAATGATGATTTGGTAATTCTAATTTCAGAAAGGCTAAATACAGAACGAAATGGAAATACTTGAGTTCTTCTGACCTTTGAATTTCGTTTAAAGGAATATTCCGTTGAAATTTACGAGTGGTCTGGTAAGGCATGGGAGCCGTATGTCTCTGACGACGTTCAGGTGCAGTTTTACATGATGAGCCCCTATGTTTTGAAAACTTTATCAACCGACAACAAGGTAGAAATTTCTTTCCTGTAATTGTTTTTTGTTTGATTTTACGTATGGATTCGATTGAACCTTATTATTTAAAGCTACTTTCTCTCTTTCTCTTGTAGGGTCTTTATTATACTACCTTTAAAGTTCCGGATGTATATGGAGTATTCCAGTTCAAGGTCGAGTATCAAAAACCTGGATACACTGCCTTATCTCTATCAAAGCAGGTAATGTTCGAGTTTTATCTTGATGCATTCTAATTATTTAGGGAATAAGCAAGTTGTTGGATCCCATTGTTATAGCGAGAAGTAGGTTCTGGAAATTATGGCAATTGCACTTTGTTTAAGATGGAAATCCATCCATATCGATTGGAGAGGGGAACAAAGCATTCTTTATAAGGGTGTGGAAACCTCTCTCTAGCAGACACGTTTTAATAAAACCTTGAGGAGAAAGTCCAAAGAGGACAAAATATCTGCTAGTGGTGGGCTTGGGCTTGGACTGTTACATTAAACGTAGGCTTGAATGCAGTATACACCATTAGCACCTTTTTAGTGTCGGGCAACCTCACTCGAGTGTGCCTGCCTGCACCTGCACATGGGTGGAGTCTTTCATGTTGTGTATGCATATTGTTCTATAACATTATTGTCAGGAAAGCTTATGGGCTTGTGTTTCGTGAACACTCATAATATTGCAGATTCCAGTGAGACCCTTTAGGCACAATGAATATGAAAGATTCATTCCTACCGCTTATCCATACTATGGAGCAGCCTTTTCAATGGTATACCTGCCTCTTTTAATACCCATTTCTGTATATATGTGCAATTTCATGTTTTAAAATGATAATAAGAATTGAATTGTGGTGCAGATGGCTGGCTTCATTATGTTCACTGCTGTTCATCTATACAACAAGTAACCAAAACCACTGTAAGGTGCAGAGCTTATTAGTTATTCTAATTTTGATTTATTTTTTCGTAATTTTAAATTTTATTTGAGCTCTCTCTTCAATATTGGATGCTGATACTACAATTATGGATACTTTAGTGTTAGTAATTAATTTAGAGAGAGATGACAATTTTGTTGAGATTAACCAAATTATTCTGGGACTTTTTAATTTTCTTTTATATTTAGTTTTTTTTTTCTTCTCAAATAAGAAAAAAGATTTTAACTTTTGGATTTTTACAAATATGGCATTAATATGATTTTTGCCATTTTGGGTTATTTATTATTTTTTAATTCAGGTTTAATTTTGATGATGATGCTAATTTAATACATTAATATTATATTATTTATGTAAATGTCTCAATATTTGAACCATCAAGGTCTACTATTTAAAGATTGTTCAATTTTCTAAAATGTGCATAATTTAATCTTTTATGTCATATCAATATTTATTTTATTCTAAATTTTAATTTTGATTCACAAATAAAATTCTTTTTTTTTTCTTTTTACCACGTGCGGAAATTGTCTAATTTCTCAATTTTTTTTATACTAACAATTTTCAACCACCACATTTTATAACCAAAAAAAAAAAAGTCAAATTAGAATTTAGTTTTTATAATTTTAGAAGTATTTATAAGATTTTATCAAAATGACTTTTAAAATCATAGAAATTGAATGGGAAATGATTTAATTTCGCAGTCTTTTTGCATAACCAATAGACGAGTGCCACGTAATTGTTGTTTTTTTTCTTATTTTAAATGAAATTGGCATTCCGGGCTGGGAAAAGTCGGGTGTGTCGGGGCACGCGGCGGCCCGCCCCGCAAATCCTCACGTCCACATCCTCTTGCTTTTCTTTCAAGTCCCGTTTTTCTAACATTATTGACTTTTGAAAAATTTAATAAAAACATTTGTCTTATTACTTTATTCTTTTTTTAATTTTTTTTTTATTTTCTAAACTTTGTTTAAAACACAAATTTACATTATTGATATATAACGTATAATTATTTGAAAATGTTATTCAAATATAGAATACATTCTATCATATATTTAATTTAATATACATATATATTTATATTAATTATTATAATTATTTGATTAAAACATTTTAGATTTTGGAATTATTTATCTTTATATTTAACAAATTTGACTTTACTATATATATATAAAAAATTTATATAATTCAATAAGCTAATTCTATGGAGAGAAATAAATAAAGAGAAGAAAATAAAAAAGAAAACTTTGAGTGACGTAAGCAATAGAAAGAAAGCAACTTACAAGAATCATCTTTGTTGCCATTTGGGGAATCATTTATGGCCAAACTTTTCCTAATCATTATTTTCCACCACTATTCTATTGCCACGTGTCCACCTCTCTTGCTTGTCTTACCATTCTGATATTTCTTTATCAATTAATTATGTTTATATTGTGTCCACAATAACAATATTCCTCGCATCAATTTTTACAATTTTTTTTAAATCAAATAAATTATAGAAAAGTAAATTAGTTTCATAATTTCCATAAAATAAATCGTTCAATGTTTTGTATCTCTTCTTGTTTGCTTCAGTTATTTGTTCCGCGTTTTTTTTGCTTGTCTGATTAGAATACTGTCATCTCATCATGTCCTTTAAACACAACGAAATAAGAAACATTAAGTTATTTAAAAGATACACGTTATACTCTCATTAAATAATTACTGCTGCTTAATTAAAACATCATCATTACATCATTTTGTTTAAGAAAAGAAACTTTCAATCTATTAGATTGTTAGCTTCCTTTAAGAGAAGGAATTATTTAAAATACATCAAGTTGTTTAAGTGAGAGAGAAAAAAAAACGATCAGGTTTTTGAATCATACACGTTAGAAAGTCGTTAAATAATTACTCCATTTCTCGTTTCGTCTTTTATTTTTATTTTTATTGCTTGTTTAACTAGAAGACCATCATCCCGCCACGTTGTTTCAAAAAACGAGAAACGAGCGGATGTATCTTTAGTCTATTAAATTATTGGTTACTTTAAAAATTATTATACAATCCTTACATTATATATTGCATTTTCATATAATACGGCACTTTATTTATTTATTTATTTATTTTCATATTTTTTATGATTAGAATATCGTGAAAGAAATAATAATATTCAGTTTTTCTCATAAGCATGTGATAAAGGTTTTATAAATTTTTTTTCAAATATTTATGTCATTTTCAAGATAATTATTAAATTATATCAAATCATTATCTTAATCAAAATTTACATGCCTTGATTTATTATTATTATTATCATTATTTAATATCTCTAAATTTATATGACTTGCAGATTCTTCTTTATAAAGTGTATTGGAGTTTCTCACTCAATATTTTTCTTAATTACCTAATTAATTCTGATTTTTTTTTCAAATTATTTTAAGCAATCAATGATTAATAAATAACATGAAAAATACGTCCAATTCACGAATTTCATACCATTTTTCCAATTATTAATTTTGTAGCTTTTCCCTTACATAAATACCCATAAAATTCATCCCAATTTTATTAATTATTATAAATTATAAAAAGAATAATTTCAAATATTTTTCAGGCGTAATAAGAAAAAAACAATAAAAAAGAAAAAAAAAACCCCGCTAGAAGGAGGGCTTGAACCTCCGACCTTGTGGTTAACAGCCACACGCTCTAACCAACTGAGCTATTCCAGCTTTTGTTTAGAGTTGTTGAGATTTATTATAATGAATAAATAATTTTAGTTTTGATAATATAATTTTAATAATTATATTATTTTAATGATACAAGTGAGAAATTGAAATCTTTATTATTATTATTTTTATTATTTTGCTGCATATATTTAAATGTAATTAGAAAATTGACTAATGTCAAGGCGTGACCTAGAATAGTAGAATCAAGTAATGCATACGAGATTTGATAAAATTTTGTTTTCCTCTCACGACCGTCAAAACACCCTTACTATGAAACACGAGCTTATTAATTTTTGTTTTACTTTCTTGTGACCATGATGTCGGTATCTTAGCAATTCCCATTAACGCTTCTTCTAAGTCCATTTGGATCAGGATCGTCTACATTTTAGCTTACCATAATAAAACTAGCACGAGATCTAAAAATAGTACGCTGTGTTTCACAGTTACCACATCCAAGAGTTCTCAACAAACGAACCGTCTAACAAATCAAGTTTTTAATAAAACTTGACATCGTGATACCACTTGTTATACATTTACATAATATACAACCTAAATTATGACAATGACTGATATTAACCGAGCCAGAGAAGAAATGAACACAAACACTTACGTGAACTAGAAATTATTTTTACTATATTCAAAATACGAGATTAGACGATAGTGTTCTTATTTATTTTTTAATTGAAAGAAAATAAATTCAAATTTTGTCACGTTTATTTGTAATTATAAATCACTTTCATAGTTGGTGAAATGTAATATCACCATCATCTTTTATTTTTAAATTAATTTTAAATACCTCTATGTTTTTTTTTTTTTGTCACTCTCTAATAATAAAATGATTCGTATTTTATTCACAGAACAATACTCGAACAGACATAAATTGGTAACAATTAACCAAATTATCATGATGAGATCAACAATATATCTAAATAGAAATTCTAAAATTATACCGTGAAAATGAAGATTCTAACGTCTAATCTATCGACTATGTCAAAGTGAGGAAAATTTAATTTTGATAACTGCTTAGTAGTGTTCATGAGTTAGATTGGGTCGGGATGGGTCGAGACAGTTTTTAGACCCACTGTTTCAACTGCCAATTTTTTCACCTCCCATTAAATAACGAACCCAACCCCAATCATATAATTAAGAGTTGGTGTTCAACTTCTACTGTTTCCACACCCTGTTTTGTTCTCCTCTCGACCAATGTGGGACATCATAGTAGAACTCGTGAATCAACTAAATTTAAAGTAAGTTGATTGAGACGGGATGGTGAGTAATTTATTTATTTTTTTCTTCTAAAATGCTTGGTTATTATGACGTAAGAGAGAGAGAGAAGAGGAGAGAGATTGCTTCCCCCTCCCAGTCCGCAGCCGTAGCATTCTGTTCCATTTTCATTATGCGTGCAAGCCATTCTTTCTCCTTCGCTTCTTTAACGGTTTATAAATCCTTTCTCAATTCATTGCTTCTCAATTCTCCTATTTTCTTCCTAATCTTTCCTCCAATGGGAAACAGCCACGCCACCAAACGGAGCACCACCGCCGCCGAACAACCCGCCGCCATCAATCTCGCCGCCAAGGACCTCACCACCTACGAAGCCGCCTGTGTGGCCGACGCCGATGTCCGATCCTTCGACAAAGCCCTCCAAGCCCGAGCCAACCAAGTGCTGACCACATTAGCCGACGACGGCGGCGTTCAAGTCCGAGCCCTGTCCTTCGATTCCCTGAAACAAGTCACGGAATGCCTCCTCGAAATGAACCAGGAGGTGGTTCGAGTCATCCTGCAATGCAAAAAGGATATTTGGAAGAGCCAGGAGGTGTTCGAGCTGGTTGAAGATTACTTTGAAAATAGCCTCCAGACGCTTGATTTCTGTACTGCTCTGGAAAATTGCCTGAAACGAGCTCGGGACAGCCAGTTGCTGATCTTAATGGCGCTGCGGCAGTTCGAGGAGGAGGAAACTCATGTGGGTCGGAATCGTTTTGTGAAAACTTTGCAGGAATTGAGGAATTTTAAGGCCTCTGCTGATCCATTCACTCAGGAGTTCTTCAACATCTTTCACTCTGTTTATAAACAGCAAATGGTAATCTCTCAATTTCCGCTTTAAAAATCGTTTCGGTTAGGAACCACGACGTCGATGTGGGACTACTCCTTTCATTAATGTTCAATAATCTTCTCCTCTCGAACGAAGTAGAATAGAGCTTCCATGGAGGCCTATAGAGTCCTTGAATAGCCCATCCCTTAATCGAGGCTCGACTCTTTTTTCTAGAGCCCTTGAACAAAGTATACCATTTATTCGACACTTGAGGATTGTATTGACACGACTAAATTAAGGGTATGGCTCTGATATCATGTTAGGAAACACGACCTTTCACAATGGTACACTATTTAGCTTTCCTTAAGGCCTATGGAGTCCTTGAAAAACGTCTCATTAATCGAGGCTCGACTCCTTTCTCTGGAGCTCTCGAACAAAATAGACAATTTG